GTGTGTGTGTGTGTGTGTGTGTGTGTGTGTGTGTGTGTTAGAGGAACTTGTTAGTCTGGGTGCATGTTGACGAGCTGAAAGCTATTTAATCATCAGTACAGCAGTGAACATGCTGACAGCTTCACTCGTCCTTTTATCTGTCTATTCTTTCACGCCCTTCTTCTTGTTTTCCTCCATCCTTGTGTTGTCATCCATCAGTCTGCAGCATCATCTTCCTCCCCGTCCAACAGAGTCATACTGACACAAGTCAATCATGCAACAGAGCATGCGTGTCAGGAGACAAAACGTACACAAACATCAGAACACACTTTAAGTCACAGTGAATTATCCTGCTTCTGAACTATCATAACTGAAGACCTGACCCCTGACTTTATGGGTTAAGGACAAATTACATGTGCATGCAATAATGACAAAACATATCACTTCAAAAATTTCTTGACCTCTAAACTTTACACCAAACTCTTAGAGTCACTTAAACCCTGACCAAAAACCAAACCCTCAAAAAAAAAAAAAAAAAAAAAAGGATCATATTCCTTTAAAGCACAGGTCTTCAACTTAGTTACTGCATGTTTTGGATGTTTCCCTGCTTCAACACACCTGCCTGTAATGAATGAGTGATAAACAGGCTCTTGCTAAACTTGATGCCATTTTGAGTAGGTATTTTAATTATTTGAATCAGGTGTGTCAAAGCAGGGAAGCGGCTAAAGCATGCAGGGCAGTGGGCTATGAGCTACAGGGTTGAAAACCACTGCTTTAAAGATTTATAGTTTGATTCTCTTGCTTGCAGGAAGTCATGTGAAGTTGGTCTCTGGTCAAGTTTTTTAACCCATCAAGACATAAGTAAAACACATGTTCAGATCGATCCATCCATTATCTACTGTTTATTCCGAGTCAGGTCCCAGGGGCAGCAGCTTGAGCAGGGAGGTCCAGACCTCTCTTTCTCTAGCCACCTCCTCCAGCTCTTCTGGGAAGATTCCAAGGCATTCCTGAGTCAGCCGAGAGACATAAGCTGCGTTTCCATTGACCATGAAAATGCGCAAATTAGAATTTTGAAAATAAATTTGCTCAATGGAAACACGTCAATTTCGAAAAAAAAAAGTTTTTCGACAAAATGTTTTTGCGCTAGGATGAGGTGGTATTTCGGCCGTATCGAAATTGGTGTTTTTCGCAAAACCGCAATGGAAACACTTTTTTGCATCACGGGAGTCACGTGATCAACAACCGGCTGGTTCTACTGGTGACAAAGATGACAACGAAGAAGATAACAGGAAGTAGAAGTAGTAGTAATATCACAGAAGTAGTAAAATAAAGTCGTAAACCCACCGACTACAATTTCCCAAAAACACTGCACACGTAGCCGCTCCCAAGTAGGGGCTTGTCGCTGGAAATCCTCGACAAAAGACTCTGACGTCTCCTCTGATGATGAGGGCTAGTGTCGCGGTAGCAATATGCTATTTGTTTGCATCCATTGCTGCCATGTTTTTAATGACTCATCGCGAGAACAAACGTATTCATGCGTGACTTTAATAGCATTTCTTACTTAATGGAAACACAACAGTTGCGAAACTGTGATTTTTCAACATTAACAGAATATCAACAAAGTTTTGCGCACATTTGCAATGGAAACGCAGCTAGTGTCTCTGCAGCATGTTCTGGATCTTCCCTGGGGTCTCCTCAGTCAGACATGCCTGAAGTCCTTCCCTAGGGAGACGTCCAGTAGGCATCCTTAACAGATGCCCAAACCACCTCTATTGGCTCCTCTCCATGTGGACCACTCTGACTCTCTCCTGGATAACTGAACTTCTCACCCTATCTCTAATGGAGAGCCTAGCTACCCAGCAGAGTAAACTCATTTTGACTGCTTGTATCTGCGATCATGTTCTTTTGGTCACTAAAGAGGTGAGGGTAGGAATGGAGACACAGAAAGCTTCACTTTACAGCTCAGTGTAGCTCAGTGTTTCTAACCTTGTGTCCTTCATCTGAGAAATGCAAAGGTTTGATTAAAGCTCAGTTACCTTTGGGGGAGAGCAATGGGCCATCTTACGAGACCCCTGCTCATATGAGTTTTCTATCCATCCCCACTCACTCTAACCATAACCATACAGCTCAGCTCCCTTTTCACCACAACAGACCGGTACAGAGTCTGCAAAACTGCAGAAGCTGTACCGATCTGTCTGTCAATTTCACGCTTCATTCTTCCCCCACTGCTGAACAAAACCCCAAGATGGCAAACTCGCAGAGCATCCTCTACAGTGTACCTTAAGGGACACAGTCAAATGCCTTTTCCGAGTCCACAAAACACATATAAACTGGATGGACAAACTCTCATGACCCCTCCAGGAACCTAGCCCCCGTGAGGGTAAAGAGCTGGTTCAGTGTTTCACAGCCAGGACAGAACTCGCATTGTTCCTCCTAAATCTGAAGTTTGATCATTGATCAGACTCTCTTCTCCAGTACCCATGTACATCCGTACCATGGAGGCTAAGGTGAGTGATGCCTTTATAACTGGAACACACTTTCCAGCCCCTGTTTTTCAAGAGAACACAACCCTAGTCTGCCAGTTCAGTGGCAAAGTCCCTATTGTCCACGAAATGTTGCAAAGGCGTGTCAACCAAGACAGCCTCACAACATCCAGTCTTAAAGGAATCAGGGCTCTGCCACTGCAGAGCTTTTTTAACTCCCTCATGGACCTCTGTCCCAGTGATAGACAGACCAACCCCAAAAACTAGTCAACAGCACCTCACTTTCACTGAGCACAGTGTTAGTAAAGTGCTGCCTTCTCCACCTCAGCAGCCAGATGGTTTGCCAGAATCTCCTTAGAGTCGATCAGATTTCAGGATTTTTCCAAGTTTTAAATAGTGTAAATTTTGTAAGTTGGTTTTCAGCACGTTTTTAAAATCCAAATAAACAGTGAGCACAAAAACTGTGAATGAATCTCTACAGAGATAATGTTGCAGGTGAACCACAGACGAATCACTGTGGATTTGTTTAGGCCTGTTTTAGTTCCTCCCTGCTCACAGTGTGTGAAGGTTTGTGTCTTTACATTCAGGAGTGAGTAAATAATGAATTACTTGTCTAGAGGTTTTCATGTTGACAGTAAGCACCCCAACAGATGGCATTAAATTTTTATCTTTTCATTTTGTACCAGGGAATAGACAGCCTTTCTTCACATCAACATTAGTGGTGTACAAAAATATTCATGCACTGAAATACTTCAATATTTAATTTCATATTTGTTCAAAATTGTATCAAATTTGAATTAAAGCTTAATGGATGGACATTGTAAGAAATGTGAACTCAAAATCAGTTCTCACTGTTGAGTTTTTCTGATTACATAAAAATAAAGTGAATTTAGTCATATTTTATATGTATATTTTATATGTATGT